GAGAGAAAGAGACAATGAAAGATACTGCTACTAATACTAGTAGTAATAATAATCCTTTTTACATAACCACTTTAATATCGACACCTTTTAGTCCATATAAAAAACAATCGCAACAACGTCGTCGTTCCTCAGTGTCTTATCATCTTTATTTACCTGTTGGAAATCATAATAATGGAAACAATGGAAACAATGATCATAATAATAATGGAAACAATTACAACAACATCAATAACAAGAAACTTGGGAAAAAATACAAATTACTTATTTTATGGCCTTTACCAACAGTGACAAGATATTTCATATTATTTTCAATGCTAGTTTCATTGTTCAATTGGGCAAATTTAATATCGTTAAGATGTTCAGCGCCCTCATTTGTCATCCATAAATTTGAAATTATAAATTTAATATTTTCACCATTTCTGTTTTCACCATCATCGCTATCAAATATTTTATTGGCCTCAACCAATTTGTTGACATTTGGATTATTTGAGGAATCTTTAACTTCGATGTTGGGAGGAACTAAAAAATTCTTGTACACTGTTATATTTATGATATTAGGTGTTTCCACATTAAGACAGATTATTGGGTTCATATTTTCAAGATCAACTGGTTGGGCAATTCCAATTTTATTTTTTAGTGATTCGTTACATGAATGTAATCAAGGTAACAAACAATTACATAATGATTTATATTTTATCTTAATTTACTGCCAAATCATTGTTTTCATCACATCCTAATATTTTATTTCTAAATTGAAATTATAGGTTTAGCGCCGTTTTTATTTTCTTTATTAGTTCTCCAATCTCTAAGCTCAGAAGATAAATATATTCTTTATTATGGTGATAAACATTACACAAAAATAACTTTAAGAAAAATAACATTACAATTGTTCATGTGTATGTTAAATTACACACAAAAAAATATTTTATGGTGGTCAATGACTGGTTTGCTCACCGGATTCTTGACAACTGTTATAATACATATAAAGCAATTAAAAAATAATATTAGTAGTATTAATAACAATAGCAATCGTAATAATAATAATTTCTGTAGCAATATAGTAAATTATGTTCTTAGCCATAATCCCAACGTCAGCAAATCCAAAAACGACTTAAATACACAAAATTTATTATTACCAAAGCATTTCAATACATCATCATCACCAACATTAACAAACGGAATAAATAATTTTTCGTCAACTTTGATTTTAATTTCTAATAATAATAATAATAATTTATTAAATTATAATTTTAATAATAATAGTTATAACTATAATAATAGCCATAGTAATAATAATTATAATAAAAATCATAATCATTATCATAATAATTATAACAGTTATTATTATAATAATAATAACAACAAACCTAATGACAATAATAATAATAGTAGGGTTGGTAAAAAAATTATCCAGAAACAAAGAATATCAAAAAAAATATTAAAAGAATTTAAAAAAAGTTTTTTAGTAATAATAATAGCGCTATTTTTTTTATTATTAGCAAATTTTGTATATACAAGACCGGATTTTGTAGAAGAGTCAACATTAAACACAGTTCATCCAGAAGATAGATTTTTGATTTCATTTTTAATAATGACAGCTCCAAGACGTGGTGATCCTGACTTTTTATTAAGAACAATTGAGTCATACCTGAGTAACTTTCCTAATAAACCTGAAATGGAATCATTCTACACCAGAACTCAAATGATCATTTATACTCATTTCACGAATCATACTATGTTTGACAAGGCTCGTGCAATCTATTCAAATAATTTCAAAGCTCAAAATTATTTAAAATTTCATCGTGAAGAAGGGTTGGAAATAAATCAAAGACTTCACGTTTCGAAAGCTTTACGTTTAGTTGCTGAAAATTTTAAAACGACTTATGTTGCTTTGATTGAAGATGATTTTCCATTATGCGAAGATAAATGGCAGGAATTCTTAACTGTTGTTTATAACGCCAACGTACAAGTACCAAGGCATTGTGGAATATTTGTTGGTACTGGTGGAAGGTAATTAAATCAAATTTTACTTATTTTGAAGGATATAGGGTTATAAAATTATATCATTGGGATAGGAATTCGGGGATCATTAAACAATATATTTTAATTTTAATTTAATTTAATATATTGTTATTAATTTTAGTGGTTTGATAATGAAAACACGTAAAGCTTTAGTAGCATCGGATTTGTTGTTGAATAGATTGGACGTACCACCAGATATATTATTACAAAATTGTTTGTTAGGGGAAATCAAAGGATGCGAAGAATGTTCAAAAACTTTGGTCACTTCAAAAACTTTGTTGATGTATCATTTGGGTTATAACACTTCAACGAGTCCTGATCGTAGATATCACAAACATGAATTCCAATGTGGTTGGAGGCATCCATTCGTAAGCGTTATTTTTTTTTAAAAAAATTTATTTTTGGCAATATTAAAATAAAAATTTTATTTCTAATTAATTATTTTCTTTTATTTGATTTAGAATGGTGATCCAAACGTTGTAACAATATAATAAATCGCTATTACTAGTTTGCGTGTATATTATGTTTTATCAAAAAAAAAAAAACAATACTTATTTACATATATTATTATTTATTTATTTATTTATTTATTTATTTATTTATTTATTTTGTATATTTTTTTAAAAAAAACCTAATTTAATTTGATAATTTTTAATTTATTTAATTTAGAATAATAATAATAAGACTAAAAAATCATCTAAAATACAAATCAATCTATTAAACTATTATTTTTTATTTTTTTTTTATTTTTTTTTATATAATCTTTTATTTAATTTTTCATTTCTCTAAAATTAAAATATCCGCAGATCTACTTTACAATAAAAAAAAAAAAATTAACTGACCAATAAATTATAAATAATCTAATCCACATAACCTTCACCATAGATCATTAAAATAAATTCCAAATAAATATATAATTCCATCATTAAATTTCCATAAAATTATTCCAATTAGAATTATTAGTACAATTATTTTAACATTTTTAACATCAAACACCTTTAAAATTTTGTTTTGAAATTTATTTTTTGTGTTGAATTTTTTAATTAATTCTATTTTTTTATTAATGTCAATTTTATCTCCACCATAAGATTCAGCCAACTGATAATTTTTTATTGCTTCTTCAAATTTCTTTTGTTCAAATAATATGTTTCCTGAAATTTAAATTTAAAATAAATATGTTAAATTTAATGACGCTATATTAAATAGTTTGTGATATACAGAAAATACCTTTACGATAATATCCTTTTGCCCATTTAGAATCTAACTGTATACATTTGTCTGAATGCTTAAGTGCTTCATCATAATTTCCAAGTTTCGTTAATACTAAAGCTAAATTAGAATGACTTAATAAATGATTTGAATTTATTTTTAATGCCTGTAAATATTTCTCGCAACTTTCTTTATATTTCTCTTGTTTATAATATTCATTTCCTTCTAATCTTAATTTTTCAACTTGATTATCATTATTTGTTGTTGAATTTATCCCCGAAGAAGACTTGGACGAAGATGAAGAAGATGATGACGATGAAAAATCTTTTCTATATGAATAATTACTATTGTTAGAATTTCCCTCTTTCTGTTCATCTAATTCATCAGATTTATTTTCAATTTCTTTCGGTTTCAATACTTTTTTTTCTAATTCAACTCTTTTCTTGATCAATTTTTCTGCTTCTTCTATCTTTTTGTTATTCAAAATAATTAAAAAGTCATATGAAAAGTTGATTTATAATAAATAACAATTTGTTAAATAATGATTTTGGTCATAATGAATGAAAGAATTAATCAATTACCTTTCCAAGTTCTTTGTAACATTTTGCCATTCTAATATATGCTACTGAATGTAAAGTGGAATTTCCTGGTGCCAATTCTTCATTAATTGGAATATTTTTCAACTTTAATAACTTTTCACCTAAATAAATCCAATAATAATATGATGAGAATAAAATATTATAATATAATTATTAGGTAATGAGATGCATATATACCATCTTTTAAAGCCTCTTCATATCTTTCTAATTGTATTAAACTAATAATAATAATGATTATCAATTAAAATTTCATTCCTTGCAA